AATCTCCTCCTACTGTTAAATTTAAGATCAGTCGAGAATTAGCTGACGGAGTCTAAATGAAAGTTGTAGATCTTGTTTTTACCTACGTGTGGATATAAAGAACGTCGAAAACGGAGCTCGTATGCGAAAATTATGAGTTTTTGAAAATCGGCTGATTTCCAGCCTGTGTGCGATGCCACGTGTCAGCACCAGACTGTGTCTGGGTGTCTCCAGCTGGCTCACGACGTGAGCATCATAAAACTCACAAAGTGAGTGACCCTTCACCCCCTATAAATAAGAGGTGAAGCCTCCATTCTTCCTCACACCTCCTATCACTTCCCCCTCTCTCTAGAACTTCTCTCTAGCCCCAAAACCCCCCGAAAAGCCTAGGGAACCTCCCTAGCACGAGGCGGAAGCCCCGGAGTGCCCGACGGCTTCGAGAAGAAGAGCCTTTCGGCTCGGGAACGCTGTTCTAGCGAAGCTCGGTTTCGAGAAAAACCCGTTGTAAGTGAGCTACGCCTAACCTATCTTTAGTATAGCTTATGTTTTAATATAGTAATGTTATTAGGACCTTATAATAAGTATTTAGGCTATTATTATGAGTTATATAAGTGTCGTTATAATATATTTTAACCACTCGCGGTACGGGGAATCTGGTTTAAAGGGCCGCATAGGGTTGTTGTATTTCAGAAGTGCTATATGCCAAAATGGTCCTGCCCTCCAGTATTTTATGTCTGGCCCCTGTCTGTATATAGTGGTTGAGAAATATTGCTTCATGCTTATATAATAAGTAATAATAGCAAGACTATTAATTAGTCTCGGTGAATATTAGACTAAACTCTAGTGGTAATGATACTAGGTTCTGTCAAAGGAGTTGTTTAAAGTAAACGAAGTGCCGTCCGAGTACCGAGTCACCACCTTATCAGGTGAGTGCATAGTCCCTTTCATGAACATGATTTTAATACAAGTATTGATTGAAGTATTAATTATATGTTTATGTGCGAGTTAATTGATGTTGCCTGAAATACGTGTTAAAGAACATACCTGAGTATATATCATGATTTAGGATAAAGAGTAAACCTAAATTAATTATGAGGAATATTGGGTAGTATTTTCTTACGAGTACGAGTGAGTTATACTCAGAGAATAGAACTTTAGTACATGTCATTGATCCGGGGAGCATGGATTAGACATAGTCATTGTCCCTAGTCCGAGAGTATGGATTGGACATAGTCAACTGTCATTAATCCAGGAGTATGGATTAAGACATAGTCAGTTGTCCTTAGTCCGGGAGTATGGATTAAGACATAGTCAGTCGTCCTCAGTCCGAGAGTATGGATAGGACATAGTCATTCGTCGTTAATCCGAGAGAATGGATATACGCATAGACACTTGTCCCTAATCCGAGAGTATGGAATGGGCACAATTATTTATCCGAGAGCATGAATTAGATCTGAGAGTATGGGTTAAGTAATAGGTAAAATTTAAGGTCCGAGAGTATGGATAGTCTCGTTGTAAGGATTAACGGGGTGGGGTAAGAGTTGCTTATATATATATGGTGAAATTGTATATTTTGTGAGTTCTAAATTATATATATGATATAACATTGTAGGATTGAAATCCCTATGTACTCACCAGGTTTCCCAACCTGACCCCACTCAAGCTTATTTGTATCACAGATGTCGATACGAAGTTACATTACACTGAGAGATTAAAGAGATGTAGATCACTAGTGTAAATGAATGTAAGTTCTGTTTATGCTTATGTTTCTGTATTGACGATGACATCCCAAATGTTTTAAAATGAATAAAAATACATTTATTCGGAAATGCTTTGATAACGTATTTATCATGTTTTACTGGGAACAATTTCCGCAACATTTTCACTAAAAGAGGTACTCTGATTTTTATAAAGCATAAACAAAATCGGTCTTTTCTGACCGTGAAAATGGGGATGTCACAATTTTGCCAATACTATCATAAATGGAATGAGTAAGTGTTATTATTGCAATGAAGAAAAATCCATGAATTGTCTAAACACGAAGAAAGATGAGAAATAAGCGAGTACAAAAAAGAATGATTTCTCAATGGAAAAAAGGCGAGCTCTTTAGATGACTGTTGATGTCGTCTTAGGTTCTTTTTAGTAAACTCAATATGTGCATCACTCTTGTTTGATTTTAGAGCCACAAATTTGTATGTCTCGTATATATTTGGTAGAAAAATTAAATATCTTAAGGGATCATGAAAAGTGCTTTACCATTAAAATCTTTATTATAATGGAATTTGTTGTGACACTAATAAGCAAGAATAACATAAAGGTGTCTTAAGCTTAACTATGTAAGTATAATTCAAGACAATTTAAGTTAAAGAGATTGTTTACCTTTTATTCATTCATTGTGATACGAGACAAAATCATCTTAAGAGGTGGATAATTGTAACATCCTTATTTTAGACCCATAATTTTTGCCTTTTTGATAAAATTAAAATTGAAAACTTTAAATATACCAAATAATTAAATCAAATAATAAAATATGGAAATAAAATAAAATATACTTATTATATTATTTATTAATTGATAAACAATTATATAATTAATTTAGATTAATGTGTTATTTTGGTCAAAAATTGAAAACTAGGGGTACAATGTTAATTTAGGCAAACTCTAGTATTTGACCAACAGTTAACTCAAATAACCTTTTGTGATTAGCAGTGTCAGAAATCTTGATAGGGAGGGGTTAGTCTTTTACATATAAGGGAGACTAGTTAGTTTTGTACATTTTGTGGGCCAAAGTGCGAAAATGGAAAGTAAGGGGTTGTATTTGACAAATTGTAAAAGATTAGAAGCTAGCTATTCTCTTCCCCAACTCTCCCATATTTGAAAATCGTTATTAGAAAGAGAATAAGACATGAAAGGTGTTTTCATCCATTGAAGGAGATTTATAGAAATATTTAAGTGTTTGAGAAAAAGGAGAGCTAGAATCATCATATTTGGACCATTAAAATGCAACCTCTCATGTACTCATCATTACTTTTTAGTTTAGGTTCAGGGATTTATCCAAAATCCAAGTTTGTAGTATGATCAGATGCTTTGATAGTGTTTCTTAATGAGTTTTAGCCATTAGAGCACAAATATCTCATTACATTACTTGTTTCATCACGATTTCAATTATAATGGTGGAAAATTAAGCTTGGAAGCTTCAACAATAGTGGAATCTAAATGTAATATTTTCATGAAATTGATATTTTTATAAACTTATTTTAATGTTCTAAAACTATATTTAAGTTATGGAACACATCATTTGTTGTAAATTGCATTTATCGATATGTGTTTGGCCTTCAACTTTGACCAAGCTTCAATGATTATTCAAACTCTACTTTGAAACAACTAAGTTTTGATATATTAAATCTCTTGGAAATGTCATAAGTTAGATGAACTAAGTCAAATTGAAAATTAATTGATGACAACCTTAATTAATGTAAGGATTGATGAGAATTTGACGCTTAAATGATTTCTATGAAACTAAACCATGCTTTTGAAAGTTCAAATTGGTTGATCGTCACTCTTAAGTCATATATTCATGTTTAGTTGACTTTCCAAAGGATTAATGACAGATTATGAAATTATTATTGATTTTTTAGACAAAAAAAATCAATCTAACTAAACCGTTGAGCTTAAATGAAGCTTGAAGGATAATTGGGAAGTTTGATGGCTTCTAATTTTGGGATGGATATGGAAGGTTTAGAAGCATATACACCATAACCTAATACCCAAATGAATGAAAAATGTCAAAATGGCTAAGTCTAAGCACCACACGACTATTTTTATTTCAAATGAAAAATGTACACGACCCTTGTACTAGCTGACCAACATAATGAAAATTTTGTAACATTTCCTTGGCTGATTCGTTTGACCTTCAAACCAATTCCATTGATATCCAACCGACTTAAATAGCTTATTTAAGTTTAAAAAAAAACGGGTTTGTTATGTGTTGAGTTTATTAGGAGCTTAATATAGCACGTAAGTGATGTATACAACTATTTTATATAGCTCTGATTGGAGCCTAGTGGTTGAGGTACAAAACTCCATACAAGAGGTCTAAAGTTGGAATCCTGACAAGCCTAAAATATCGTTAATGTTTAGCAACTGACATCCCTTGCGGGCCTTTATGTGGGTTGATGTTTGGTCTATTCACATAACAACACAATTGTACTTCTACTTTACATGGAGATTTAACATTTTAAGGTTAACATTTGGCCTATTCATTATTTATGTGATGTATTGTTTGGTTTTCCGTGTTGGGTTATCAAGAGAGCCAAATTTAATGGTTCTTGCACATTGATGATTATAATTTAAAGACATTACATGGATAGACCTATCCCCGTACATCCAAATATCATATAGCATATATGGCCATGAGTTAGGTTGATTTCTTTTGCCACATCTAGCTACCAACCTTATGTTATGGCACTTATCAAAGTACAACTATAACCATTTTCCACAAAGTACTTTTTAAGCCAAATTTTAGGTGTACATGGCTCTTGAAAACTTCAAATGATTCATCAACATAAGTCATCACTACCAACACAACCCTTTAATCATTTAAACGCTTATAGTGCTTGGTTCAATTTCTCACACATTATAAACCTTCAAACTGTGAACAAACATGTAATTACACGTACTGCTCTTCTTTCGTAATGGTGTATTGCTTCTATCCAAAAGTTTTACAACATTTTAACATAAATGTTACATTGTGTATGAGTTTACCTTCTCAAGGTTCTAACGAACATAAATCCCGGGGGTCCATATATATGGTGACGAGATGCGAAAGGGGGAATGCCCTTTGAAAAAGGCTCGGAAAACATCGAGAGTTTTATTGTGGAAATTGGAAAAACCCACTAAGGAGAAATTTGTAAAAAATTCAAAACCTAGGGCTTTTTATGTAAAATCTCTTTGAATTATCATATTAAAAAAAAAAAAAAAAAAGATTTAGTTGCTACTAAAAGAAACAATTTTGTCTCCATACCTTCTGCTCACAACCACGCAGGAGAGCAGTCTAGTTCACGTGGTAGAGAAGACAACCCAAAAATGGCTTCATCGCTATCGTACGCTGCTGCCATTTCCAGACCACCTTCTTCACCTTCGCCAAATCTAAGAACTCTCTTCCCTTCTGGTATTGGTTCGCGTGCCTCAAACCCCATTTCTCACACCAATCGGTTAGTTCTCTTCCACTACAGTCTACACCCCTCTGCGTGCGTTTTCATTTAGTGTCTATTTCAATCGAATTCACCTCAAATTTAGCGTAATTGAACCGAATTTTGATGCTTTCTGTGAAAAACAACAATGGGTTTTCTAGGGTTCTAATTAATCAGCTAACACTCTAGATTGTATGGGGACATGTACCCGAAAACAGTAATTGTAATGTTTGATGTATCTAGGTTAGTTAATTCCACTTTAGATAAGGCCAAATTTTATTCCAATTTGTTTCTTATAGAGTTATAGGTGTTTCCATTGGCTGAATTTATCATAAGTGTGTGTGTGCGTTGAATTTATTGTAATCCAGCTGAATTATGGGGTAATTTACCCAAATCACAAAGCTTACATGGAAAAAGTTACTGAAATTTGTACGTTTTTTCTTGAATTTAGTGATAAGATCATAGAATTTCTTGTTTTGAGTAAACTTTAATAGTATCACTAATCATAATTTGTTGTTTAGATGTGATTTGATTACATTGACTAATAAGTTGACTTTTCTTGCAGCTTTTTGAGGTTTGGTGTCAAATGCAGTTATGCTGATGCAGGCATAAAGGACACCAATTCCAGGACAATAGATGTTGAAGCAGATATTAAAGCTGAGAGGGTAAAAATTAAAACATGCAAATTAAGTAATCTTAAAATGTAAATCTCATTAATGCTTTTTATTTTTATTTATTTATCAGCTTGTGGTGTTGGGAGGCAGTGGTTTTGTTGGTTCAGCTATATGCAAGGCTGCAGTATCCAGGGGTATAGAAGTCATAAGCTTAAGCAGGTTTGTTGATTACACGAAATAGCAATGTACTTTTATTTATTTGTTTATTAAAGTAATATTGCATTTAAACCAATTAATTTATTTCATTAGTTTTAGTGTAGTTAAAATAATGTAATAACATAAAATTCGTGATAAAATTTTGATGTTTTATGATTTTAAGGTTTTTTGGTTAATTTTTTTTTTCAGGTCAGGAAGGCCAACTTCCTTGAACTCATGGGAGGATCAAGTGACTTGGATTACGGGTATAAATCAAATACCTAAAATACCCCTCAATCTTTGACTATAAAATCAAATACCTCATATAGTAAAAATAAAATACCCTTCAATAGTGCTCACTCTCACTCTCTGTTTGACTTGATAAAAAATATTTGACTTTAAAGCAAATACCTAAAATACCCCTCAATAGTACTCCTTCCATTTGTTTAATTTGATACGTAGTTTGAAATAATTATTGTTTACTAATACCTAAAATACCCTCAATAGTACTAACGCGTGCTTAACTTGACGCGTAGTTTGATGAAAATCTTTGACTAAATCAAATACCTAAAATACCCTCCCTCCGTTAGTTTGACTCGACACATAGTTTAATAAAAAAAAATGTCTTATATACTTAAAATACCCTCAATAGTCTCTGTTTGTTTGTTTGACTTGTCACATAGTTTAATAAGAATCTTTGACTATAGTTCCCTAAAATACCCTTCAACAGTACCCTTTCCATCTTAGTTTAATCATAATCACTATAGATAAAATACCTAAAACACCCCTCAATAGTACCAACATGTGCTTAACTTGACACGTAGTTTGATAAAAATCTTTGACTAAATCAAATACCTAAAATACCCTCCCTCCGTTAGTTTCACTTGACACATAGTTTGTTAAAAAAAATCTTAAATACCGAAAATACCCTCAATAGTCTGTTTAACTTGTCACATAGTTTAATAAGAATCTCTAATCCCTAAAATACCCTTCAATAGTACCACCCCCTCCGTCTTAGTTCAACAAAACACTTTTGACTATTAATCAAATACCTAAAATACCCCTCAAGAGTCAAGAGTACCCCTTCAATTCCATCCTTTTATTGATTTTAAATTTTCTTTGTAGGAGATGTTTTCTATGTAAATTGGGATGAAGTACTTCCTGGTGCTACAGCAGTGATTTCAACCCTTGGAGGATTCGGTAGTGAAGAACAAATGCAAAGAATTAATGGTGAAGCAAATATCATTTCAGTAACTGCAGCCAAAGAATATGGTAACTTACTTTTACTTTTTACTTTTTACTTTTTACTTTTTACTTTTTACTGCATCCTACTATTTTAATTTTAAAATAAAATTACAGGGATTCCAAAGTTCATCTTGATCTCAGTGCATGACTACAACATACCGTCTTTTTTACTCACATCTGGATACTTCACGGGAAAGCGAAAAGCCGAATCTGAAGTCCTCTCGAAATACCCGAGTTCCGGTAAATACAAAATGACTGTTTAGCCCCTAAAGATTTTGATTTGATTTAATATTATAATTGTTTATGCAGGTGTGATATTAAGACCTGGATTTATATATGGGAAAAGGAAAGTTGGGAATTATGAAATCCCATTGGATTTGATAGGGGAGCCAGTTGAAAGACTTCTGAATGCCACTGCGAGTTTTACTAAACCTCTGAATGCTTTGCCTGCTTCTGATTTGATTTTGGCGCCTCCTGTTAGTGTTGATGACGTGGCACTTGCTGCTGTAAATGCAGCCAAAGATGATGATTGTTTTGGTGTCTTTACAATCAATCAAATTAAAGAAGCTGCTTCTGGTGCTAAAGTGTGAGTGAGTTTGTGTGTATTTATAGATTATATATAAGTACGTATGGTATATATAATATATAATATATATACATAGAAATGTATTTATTTATCATGTTGCATAATATTGTATGAACTTTTTTAATTAACGAGGTATGCAATATAAAGTTGTGTTGGGAAGTCGATTTTATATGAGATTCTTTTTATCAATTCCTAACTTTTTATAAATCTGTTTTTACTAGTATGATGTGAAGATTAGTGGCCTAAGATTGGATCAAATATTAATTTAAATATTTAAATCCTTTTGGTATAATATTTTCACAATTATTGTAATTTCACTCGTCTTTTATAAAGATTTTGCATTCCGTTTGTAAGTTTATAATAATTAACATAAGAAATAATACTTTTTGTATCTTTTATAATTTAACATAAACAACCATTTTATTTTATTTAAAACATTGTCTTTTATATTTTCTCTTTGCAAATTATAATAAACATAAAAACTTAAAAGAATTCATTTCAAAAAACAAAAAACAAAAACCACATAATCCAAAGCTTCTTCATGGAGCTTTTATATTTTATCTCATAACTTAAAACTTTAACATTCCAAATACATCACCTTTCTCTAAATAACTACATAACTATCAAACATGTTGAATATGCGATGCCACTATCTTTCACAAAATTGCATCATCATTTCTTTAAAGCAGCCTGCTCTAAGAGATACCTACATTTTTAGGTGGTTAGAACTTAGAAGTTTCTTTATAAAGAACTTAATACAGAAAGAACAACTTAATAAAAAAATTCATGGAATGAACTTAATACAAAAAGAACAACTTTTATATTTTTCACACATAAGTTATCTAGACAACAAGTTCTTACTTGCCAGTATAGAAGCCAGCAGAAAACCAAGCATTCAAGACAGCTGAAAGATCCGTTTCTTCACTTTTCTTTCCCTCTACAATTCATACACAAATCATTATATCTTTACATCATTAACTTTCACTGAAAAGTAAAAACCATACATACTACTAACCTTTATCTCCTGTGTTAAATGTCTGAATAACTTTGTCAATAGCTCCCATTGCAGCTTTAATAACAGCATCATTTTCATTACATGAAACTGCAGTTGAACATGGACATACATAGGGCTGACAAGAGCATGCAGGAGGACCAGAAGGTTGGGGTGGTTGATCTTGAGA